ATAGAATCAACTCAATGAAATATTATTATACCCATAATAAATAAACAACAAATTAGAAATAGATTATCTAATATTAAAGAAGTTGATAGAATAAAAATTGCTTATATTCATATATCAACTATTCAAGTAATTTTAAAAAGTACTTTTAGTGACTTAGATACACCAATAGAATTAGAAATCAGAGATGATCGTATAATTAAAAATCAAGAAAGTATTATTGCAAAAGGAAAAGGTAATTTAATTGAAGGAAAAATAAAATTTGATATTAATATTCAATTAGGATTAAGTCTTAAAGATAAAAAATCTAAGTAATAGTATTATTGTACGATATAAATTATTAAGACAAAATTTTATGTTAAAAGGAAATCATCCGTTTACTACTACATATCAAATAAATTATGCATTAACAAATTCTCATCATAGTATTACATTGAAAACAGAAGATAGAATTTATATAGATAAATTATTTACCCCTTTATTATCACTTAAATTACCAAATATGACTAATAATAGAATATTTAATGAAACTAATTTTCAACCAATAATAACTACTCCGTTAATAAAAAGAAGTCCAATTATAGAACCTCCAATTTCAACTATAACAGGTAGATCTTCCATCTCGAAATGTCAACCTACAACATCTAACGAAAAATAACGATGAAAAATTAGAAGATATAAAAGAAATGATTAGATCATTAAGTTTAAGAATATGACAGAATCATCTAGTAATTCCTTAAAATATTTTAAAACACTTGAAGGATCATATCAAAATACAAAACCATGTATACCAGATAAAGAAATGATTATAGAAATACCGCAAAATTTACCACAAGGAACAGTATATAATATTGGTCTTAGTTCTGAAGAAGATAAATCAATAGGAGACAAGTTAAATATAATTAGTCAAAAACTAAACAATATTATAGAAATAGAAAGTTTACTTGTATTAAAACAAATTCCTGAATTATTACAAAATTTAACTCAACAGAAAATATTACTTGAAAAATATTTAAAAATAAAAACTATTAAAGAAGAACCACTTAATGAAAAACCACTACTTAAAGAAAAACCACTTACTATTAAACAACTATTTACATGGTAAAAAATAAAAAATTATGAATAATAAAACCCAAGTATATTGTAATTACGATAATAAATATAAAGCTAATCTACTAAAAAAATTATGGAAAGATTTAGAAAACTCTACAAAACATTTAAAAAAAAATCTGAAATACATAAATTAACCTCTAAAAACAAAAATTATACTGCATATCAATTAGTAAAAATTGGAAGATTAAAAATTGAAATTAATCATTTTAAAATAGTAATAAAAGACATTAACAATTCAATTAATTTTCTTTCAGACGCTTTAATAATTTGTTAAAATGAATTCAAAAGTACAAATTAATTCTTCAAAAGATAACATGCTTTGGACTAATATATTAAAAAACCATTGGAAAATAAATTCTAATATCTCTAATACCATTCAACATTTATAAAATGCTTTATCATATGAAGAAAACTATTTATTAAAATTACAATCAGTAAATGAAGAATATAATAAACAACTAAAAAAGATATCTCGATTAAAAGAAGGAATTAAAAAATATAAAAAATCACAAAATCGTAATTTAGAAACAATACACAATGTTTCAATTATACTAACAAACACAACTTGTTAATATAAAAACTTTGCAAGAAATAACATTAATTAATAGAAATTTATAAACTAACTCTAATGAGTAAAAGAGAAACAAATATTAACCCAAACAGTACCTTTATTACAACTAAAATACAAGATAAAGAACTAGTTTCGTATATAGATACAGGAGCTACCTTATGTTTTGGAAGAAAAAAGATATTAAAAAATTGGGAAAAAATTAGAAAAACCATTAAAAATTACAATTGCTGATAAATCAATTCACAAAATTTGGTTCGTAGGAAGAGACATAGATATAGTAATTGAAAAAGCGCCATTTAATACTCCAACTATATATCAACATGATTCAGGAATAGATCTAGTAATAAGAAATAATTTCCTTAAATTATATCAACCATTTATACAAACAAATGATCATATAAGTCTAAATCACCCGACAAAAGGTGTTATAAAAACTGCAACTATCAAACATTTTGATCTTATTAAGATAATCAAATAAGAAGTTGGTTTCCAACTACACATATTACTAACATTTGCTAAAGAAATTGTTGAAAAACAACTTGAAGAAGTATGTAGTGAAAACCCGCTAGATCATTTAAAAAATAGAAATAATCAAGAAATAATAATATTATTAAAAAATCCTAATGATGAAATTAATATTCCAAATAAAATTTCATATAGTATAAAAGATGTTTCTGAATTTAAACAAGAATGCACTGAACTACTAGAAAAAGGAATCATTCGACCTAGCATAAGTCCCCATTCTGCACCTGCATTCTATGTAGAAAATAATAATGAAATAAAACGAGGAAAACGAAGAATGGTGATTAATTATAAAAAATGAACGATGCTACTATAGGAGACTCATATAAATTACCACGAAAAGAATATATTTTAGAAAAAATAAAAGGAAATACACATTTTAGTACATTTGATGCAAAATCCGGGTATTGGCAATTACGCTTACATGAAAATACAAAACTATTAACCGCTTTTTCATGTCCTCCTCAGAAGCATTATGAATGGAATGTCCTTCCATTCGGTTTAAAACAGGCACCAGCAATATATCAGCGATTCATGGACGAAACCCTAAATGGTTTAGATCATATTTGTCTTGCATACATTGACGATATAATTGTTTTTACAAAAGGAGATGAAAAAACACATATCGATACAGTTATCAAAGTTTTACAAAGAATCAAAGAAAAAGGTTTAGTTTTATCAAAAAAGAAATCGAAACTTTTTCAATCTACAGTTGAATATCTTTGTTTAAAAATCGGAGAAAATGGTCAACTATCTTTAACAGACAACATACGAGAAAAATTACATATGTTTCCTGATAAACTTGAAAATAGAAAACAAATACAACGTTTTCTTGGTTGTTTAAATTACATTGCAGAACAAGGATTTTTAAACAATTTAGCAAAAGAAAGAAAAGTTTTACAAAAGAAAATATCAGAAAAAATACCTTGGTGTTGGACCAATACAGATACTGTTTTGGTGCAAAATATAAAACAAAAAATTCAAGTTCTCCCTACTTTATATAATACAAAAATCGTCGATTTTCTAATTGTAGAGACAGATGCATCACAAGACACTTGGGCAAGATGCCTAAAAGCAATTATACATGGAAAAGTATTATTGGGACTAGATGATGAGGGAAACCTCATATTTGACCCATCAAAAGTAAACAATGATAAAGTATACAGTGAGATGAAAATATCACCAAAAGCATACATTGGTATGAAAATACCATCTGAAGTAAACAATGATAAAGTATACAGTGATATGAAAATATCACCAAAAGCATACATTGATACGAATGTATCATCTGAAGTATTAAAAACAGATAAATATGAGCAAAAATTATGTAAGTATATATCGGGAACATTTTCCCAAATGGAGCAAAATTATAGCACACATGAACGAGAAACACTAGCTTGTTTAAGAACATTGAAGAAATGGAAGGTCGAGCTTCTACAAACAAGATTCGAGTTACGAACAGATTCCAAGTATCTACTTGGATTTTTGCGCTATAAATTACAAGAAGATTATTGCCGTGGACGATTGATTCGTTGGCAATTAAAATTACATCAATTTCATCCTTATCTCAGATACATCAAAAGCGCAAACAATCATATAGCAGACACTTTGACGAGAGAATGAAAGCCATCATGAAGCCAGAACAACAACAGTTCAAAAAAGCATCCATTCATGGAAAACTAACGTCAGCCATGACCAAAGCACACATCATTCAGAAATATCTGTCTTTTCGAATGCGGGAGGAATGACGTAAGCAATGACATATAAAGTCATTATTATTGAAGACATTAGTGAAGACACTTGTCCTTTCAATGTGGAAGAGATTATATTAATGTAAATATTGTGTCGGTGGAATTATTTGTATTTGTCGTTGTATAATTATTGTTTGTATGTGTCATAAAGTTAGTGTCGGTTAGAAATGAAATAAAATGTGTAACCCTCAATAGTCTAGGGGGCTATAATGTAAATATGTATGTCGCCGATAATGCTCGCGTTTCTTGTAGTGTTATTGCATTTAGTTCTCAGTTTGTTTGAGTTTTTTGTTTCTTTTTTTCTTCTTGTTGTTGGTTGTTATACTTTGTTTCCAGCAGCTTCCTGATGGTGTTTGTTGGAACCCTTGCTCAAATATATACATTTATAATTCATTTAATCTATTTAATTATGACAAAATGCACTTATGAGCTAGCTATATGCCACAAAATTTCCTAGGTACCTTAATTAATTAGACAACAAAGAGCAAGTGCCAGAGGAAATAAATAAGCAGATGCTTTAATAAACTCCCTGCAAATCTGGAAACATATATGTAACTATAAATGTTATGCTCTTTCCATATAACTCGTATATATGTCTAAAAAACCCGGTTGTAGAAAAATGGTCCTCTTACCGTCACATAATTTGTCTCATATTCATAGAACTTGGTTGCATTCTAAAAACCAGGAAATATAATCCTATAGCTAAAAGCCCCGGTTGTTGCAAGAGAAACCGAGGTCCATTATGCATTATGGCGAGTCTTATGTGTGTGTAGTTTTACTTTAATTTGTGGGTGATAGCCCATTTGTGTAGTAGTGATTAATGAATGTAAAAAATTAACTTAGTGGGCACAACTTTCGATTCGATGTTTGCAGACACCTAAAGAACAATGATCCTTTGAAGCAAAAGACAACACGTTTTATTACATAAATTCAGATCCCAATCCTTACCCTGTGCATGGTACAGTACTTTTGACATAAAAAGGCCTATATCTTACTACGTGACCAGTAAAAATAAAAGGGCCATGCATTAATTATTCCCTTCAAAGTTATATGGCAGTAGATCCAATCAGCTTGGTTAGTCCAAAAGTGATGGCCATAGCCATCAACCCTCCAAACAAAACCCTAAAACAAGACTTCACCACAGGAGTGCCTCCAAGTAGAGAACCAGCCCATCCGAAAACCACTAGTGCCATGCTCACTGCGGCTACCACCACCCCCATCCTCACCTTATGGTCCCCTATGAAAGATGCAGCCAGTAAAGGAACAATCGCTCCTAAGGAAAATGCAAGAGCTGATGCTACAGCTGCCTGGATAGGATTTGGCAGCTGATCTTTTTCTTTTTCTTGTTGACTTCTCTTAATTTGAGCCACTTCTACATCTAGCTGAGAGTATACTGAAACAAATTCCCCTATTGCCATACTGCATGCACCTGCAACTAGCATGGCAAACCCAGAAAGAATCATGGATTTGACGTCTTTTTTCACAGCTCCAACACCTATCATTGGCTCCCAAGACAGCTGCACGAAGCCACTGTCCCCTTTGTGAGTAATCGATGCCTTCCTCTGTAGACATTTGGCATTGTTTTGGATCAGATTTGTCTTTAGGTTTTTGAACACAGACATCATATTGATTAGTGGCCGTGAAGATGAAGGAAGAAAAAAAATATGTTATAAAAGATTATTGAAGATTTAAGAGAACGAAATAAAACTGGCTTGTGGAAGAAGAGTTTCCCGTAGAGGATATTTATAGATGGGAAGGACCATCGAAATTAACTTGAAAACACAAAACAACTAAACAAACTTTAGGTGATGCAATTAAAAGAATAAGATAGTATTTAAAGCACATGCAAGCCTTAATTTGATGGTGTGACTTGAACTTAAAGAAAACTAATTATGGTTGTCAAATTGATCGCCTTTCTATTGTTTATACTTAATATTATTACTATTAAAACATAGAGTTAATTTTTAGAAGCAACAACTAATCAGAAATTTTTTGTAGCATGCGACAACGTCAGTTTTGTGTTGTGTTCTTCATTATTAAGAAAAATTATGTATCAATAACCGATCCAAAGAAGTTGCATGCAGTATAGGAACCAGCTGGCACAACCCCCGGAGTAAAGAAGAGAAAAGGAAAGTAGAACTCCTAAGAAAGTAGTGGGCTGTGTAGGATACCATTCGTAAAAAATCACGAGTGATTTGGTGGATTTTCAGTGAATATATAAAATTCAAAGGAGTGTGCACTCCACACTAAAGTTGCAAATATGAATAGTTATATAATGTGAGGATCGTGGAATCCACACGAAGGCCATCACCACTTCCATAAACAACGGAATGTCCTTTAATTTCTTATTTCTAGTGGGATGGAATGGTCATTATATATATTTTTGCATCTCTTGAAGACGCCAGTTTCTAGTGGGATGGAATGGTCATTATATATATTTTTGCATCTCTTGAAGACGCCAGTCACGGATATTAATTCTAATCTAATTGCTAGAGTTCCGCACATTAAAAGAAGTATTACCTAATTTTCTCAGTATATGACTCTCTCACCTGACAGGAGCGGATCCTTTTAGGGGCAAGAGGGGGCCATGGCCCCCCGCTTTTCAGCCTACTTATACTTGTTTATACATAGATTTATATTATTTCTTGCATATTAAAAAAAATGAAGCTTTGGAGAGACTTGAAATGAACAGGACACCAGAAAAATACAAACAAGAATTTTTGTGAATAACTAAAAATCCTAATATGAAGGAAACGGATACACCAAAAATAAATTCTGAAATCTCTAAATATTACTAAAAGAGAATATTTAATTCTAAATTGAAGAAATCAGAGTCATTTATTGAATTTCAATCCTATATTTTCCACCATTGGATTGTTTGCTGACATCATCTTTGTCAACCCCTTTATTTGTGTCTACAAATTTTATAAAACATATATTATGTTTTGTGACAACCGTCAATTTTTGGCCAAGTCAAAGTCAACTAAAGTCAACAAGTCAAATCGGCCAACTCATCTAACCCTTGTATATTAGGGTTTCCATTACGTTTCTTATTGTACAACTCGCAATCCTAATACAAAGTATCACTTGGAGTTTTCACGTGTTCGGAAATTCTAAACCCTAATTAGGGCAAGTGATGAAACTATTCGATAAAACATTATTCCTTAACCCTCGGGAGCATATAACAATCATAACGAGACTTAACGAGGTTTACAAACCTTGCGTTACAAAGCCAAACACTCAAAAAGGTCACAAAAGAAGTCTCTCCCAATCTCTTTCACTCTATCTCTCTCTACTTCAAATCTCTCCCAAATCTCTCTAAGTATGTGAAATCTCTCCCAAATCTCTCCAAGTATGTGAAATCTCTCCCAAATCTCTCCAAGTATGTGAAATCTCTCCCAAATCTCTCTCTGAATGAGAAATCTATCCAAGTGTGTGAAATCTCTCCCAAATCTCTCTCTGTATGAGAAATCTCTCCAAGTGTGTGAAATATCTCCCAAATCTCTCTCTGAATGAAAAATCTCTCCAAGTATGTGAAATCTCTCCCAAATCTCTCTCTGTATGAGAAATCTCTCCAAGTATGTGAAATCTCTCCCAAATCTCTCTCTGTATGTCAAATCTCTCCAAGTATGTCAAATCTCTCCCAAATCTCTCTTAAAATCTCTCTCAACTTTTTATAATCACCCAGGGCATCCCGGCCCTTAATTTAGTCGAAAACCGCTAAGTCTATGCAAAAACCATCCTTAAGGAGCCGAACCCTCTTAAGGAGCCGAACCTCCCTTAAGGAACCGAAACCTCCTGAGAACCGAAACCACCTCCTGAACCGAAACTACTAAGGAACCGAAATTAACCTTCGGTCCGAGATCTTGACCTTCAGTCACTTCTGATGAGCCGCCTGCGAGACCTCTCGGTTCCCATGCACAACCGAACCTTACATTCGGTTCTATGCTCCTAAGGAGCTGAACCTTCGCATCTTCGGCCCTGAACTTCGGAATTTCGCTTTCCTTTCCCGGTTTTCAATATTTTTAGCATTTTAAGCCCGTTTTTCGTGATTTTAACGCGGGATTTTCACCCAAACTCGTATTTTAACATAATGAACCCTAAATATTCATATTTTAATTATATTTTGGGGAAAATCCTTGCCTAAGAATAAAATCTAGTAGGTAAGATTTATGGGTGGAGTGTTGACCTTGCTTTAGTGTATGACACAAGCAACCACCCATGCGCACTCCATGACCAGCCCTTGTCCTTCCACCATACCTAGTCCTTTCAGTGTACTCTTTCCATCATTTTTCCAGCCACCTCCTTGATCAAAGGCTGGAAAACTCCCCTCTCTCCTCACATTTCTCTCATTTTCCACCAAAGAACAAACTTCATTCTCTTTCACTTTCTCTCTCTAAATTTCGAGATTCAAGGTTATTCTCCAAGCTTTTTTTCTACTTTTGGTAAGTATTATCATCCTCCATATGATTATTTCACTCCTTTCTACTCAAATCATTGGTTTCTTACACAAACTTCATCATATTTGTGTTAGAACTTCGAATCTTCAAGCAATCTTCTAAGTGTTCATGAGTTGAACACTTCCTTTCTTCATCATCCATCTACTGAAATCACACAAGGTGAGTTCATACCCCTACATTTTCATGTTTTCTTCAAGTTTTAGGGGGGGATACAAGTTAAAACACCAAAAACTTAACTAAACTCAAACAACAACGTTCATCAGAAAAGTTGAGTCTTATTCACGGACTGTTTTTACTATCTTAAACTTAATATCTTTCAAAACTGTTTAATATGCAAATCATTCAGGTTCATACCTTTAAAATGACTACTTGCACATCTCCATACGATTTGTCTACGATTTATGGTGATTTTTACAAAACTGCCTATCATTTCAGAAACGAATTCGGACTAGTCTGTGAATATGAACATTTTAACACAAGTTAAAGACTTCTAAAAATCATAATAAAAATTATGAATAAACTAGACACATTTTGTGAACTCTCAGAATTTACGGATTCAGTTTTCGACTTCGTATGATTTTTCCATGATTTTTCTAAAACAGTGTAGAAAGGTCAAAAACTAGTTAACAGCTTCTAACTTGCATCACACTTTGTAACATGTTGAACAAAGTGTTAATCTTTGAGAATTTCTTATCTTGCATATGTTTCTTGTTGTGGGATAATTGTATAACAGAAAATACTCACTGAATTGTAAGAATCCTCCATCATTACCAATAGTACAAAACAAGGCATGATAAACATAGTTATATATTTGCTATACATTCGACTTACATAGAAAAGGGTTCTTATACACCACAAACAAATATACTAAACTATAATAGGTATAGTTAGGTTGCATATACATTACAAACATTTTGATAAACTATAATAGGTATACTTTATGTTCATTTACATTACGAAAGGTTTTTATACAAAAAAGGGTACAAATACAAAGTACCGGGTTTTCTTACAAAGAAGGGTACAAATACAAAGTACCGGATTCATACAAAAAGGGGTACAAATACAAAGTACCGGGTTTATACAAAAATGGGTACAAATACAAAGTACAAGGTTTTCATACAAAAAGGGGTACAAATACAAAGTACCGGTTTCATACAAAAAAGGAGTACAAATACAAAGTACCGGGTTCATACAAAAAAGAGGTACAACTACAAAGTACCGGGTTTATACAAAAAGGGGTACAAATACAAAGTACCAGGTTCACACAAAATGGTTTTTATGATATTAAAACTACATTTCATCTAGAATTGTTAGACTTCAGCTATAATTGCTAAGTGTATATGCTAGAGTTATATAAAAATCTAGTCACAATCAACTTAGAATTGGTGGGCCCGCCTTATTTCCTGTTCCTTGTTTGGTTGTGGACCTAGGGCAGACCCATTATATTCAACGGTTTATTTAACTTAAATTTTATATAACTTATATACGCTCGGCGATTATAGAAGGAATCTATGGGTCCTTCTAGGGTACATTATCGCATAACATAGGAGCATTCATTTCACACTTAACTAAGAAAATATTGGATTTTCTGGAAATCATACTCTATCGCTTTTACAAGGAAAACAGTTTCTTCCTCAAACAAAACTCTTATGAACTCACCAACTTAATTGTTGACACTCTTTCAAAACTACTTGTATTCTCAGGAAATCAGTGAAACAGGAAAACATCAGCACTTTGAGGATGGGACGTTAAATCGTCAAACAGTTTATTTTGTCATCATAATGTAATTGATTTTGAAACATGTAATCATATACTAGGGTTTAACCTTTTCAATTATATTTATGATGTTTGTATTTATTTTAAGCACTATTATACTCGTTGTTGTGATACTTTACATGAAGTCCTCCACCCCCGAACGTTTCCGCCATCCTTGGTTTGGGGGTGTGACATGTTTTAAATTAGGAAGTCAATTAATGACAATTAAATCTCACCAAAAATAAAATGAATTAAATTAGTAATTCTATTAATGACAATTAAATCTCACCAAAAATAAAATGACAATTAAATCTCACCAAAAATAAAATGAATTAAATTAGTAATTTTATTAATGACAATTAAATCTCACCAAAAATAAAATGAAAAAATGCCCCGCCCCATCCTCATTT